GCCCCCCAGCAGGCCTCGAAAGTGGCGACAGTTTCACAGATCGCAGCCCCCCAGGGATGGCGAGGTCTAATTTGGGCCCGCCCGTGGCGTCACTGTGCTGGGCCCCCCAGCAGGCCTCGAAAGTGGCGACAGTTTCACAGATCGCAGCCCCCCAGGGATGGCGAGGTCCGCCCTGCGTCGCTGTGCTGGGCCCCCCAGCAGGCCTCGAAAGTGGCGACAGTTTCACAGATCGCAGCCCCCCAGGGATGGCGAGGTCTAATTTGGGTCCGCCCGTGGCGTCACTGTGCTGGGCCCCCCAGCAGGCCTCGAAAGTGGCGACAGTTTCACAGATCGCAGCCCCCCAGGGATGGCGAGGTCTAATTTGGGTCCGCCCGTGGCGTCACTGTGCTGGGCCCCCCAACAAGCCTCGAAAGTGGCGACAGGTTCACAGATCGCGGCCCCCCGCAAGCAAGACAGGAGGAGGCAAGAGGGAGACGGGACGGGAAGGAGGAAGTGGAATCACTACTCTTTATTATCATCTAATCATCCGATCAGAGAGACCAGCGAAGAACATGTGATTCCTGCACATTTGCCGAGTGTCACCGAGAAACGGCGACGTGACTCGGCCCACACAAACCCACCCCAACGAAAAAACGGCGAGCAAAACGCAAATCTTCAGTTGACCTCTTCGAACAAAACAATGACGACGACGACACGCCAAAACACTTACCGGGACGCATGCGAACCCTGCCACAAGGGCCTTTGGTGAAACTCCCTGAATCTCCCTATGAAGCCACGCACCGTGTGAGGGGTGTGCCAAAACTGGACTTGGGACGCATGCGAGCCCTGCTATTGAGGCGTTCGGTGGAGCTCCCTATGAGGCCACGAACCGTGTGATGTGTGCGTGTGTGTGGATGTGTGTGCGTGCGTGTGCCCAAATCTGCCAGGGGGCATATGTGAACCCTGACACTGGGGCCTTCGGTGGCGCCCCCCATGAGCAAGCCGCGGTCCGCATCACGCGCCCCAAAGAACGCAGAGGAACCCTGGACCACAAACGGCGACGAAAAATCCTGCGAAGACTTGGTGTACTCCCCGAGAAAACGGGAAACGGCGACGCCCAACCTCGGCGAGTTACCCACTGGAGTCTCCGTTGAGGGGGGTGATGAAGTGGAGACTACACTGCTCTATTCAAAACGAATACCCAACCAAGGAGGGTTGGGAAAAATACGATTCCCCCCCGAAAGTTGCACGACGTGTAATTCGTAGAACGCCAGCCCGTCGGGTTCGGCAGTGTTCGTGTAAGACGGCGGCCAGCTGGGGGAGGAGGAGGCGGAGGATGGGGGAGGCGGAGGGGGAGGAGGAGAGGAGGAGGAGGAGGAGGAGGAGGAGGAGGAGGGGAGGAGGAGGAGGGGGGGGGGGGAGGAGGGGAGGAAGGAAAAAGATGATGATGATGATTGATGATGTGAGGGAGGAGGAGGAGGAGGAGGAGGGAGGAGGAGAGGAGGTAGGAGGAGGAGAGGAGGAGTGAGGAGGAGGAGGAGGAGGAGGAGGAGGAGAAGGAGAGGAGGAGGAGGAGGAGGGGAGGAGGAGGAGGAGAGAGGAGGAGGAGGAGGAGGAGGAGGAGGGGAGGAGGAGGAGGGAGGAGGAGGAGGGAGGAGGGAGGAGGAGGAGGAGAGGAGGAAGGAGGAGGGAGGAGGAGGAGGAGGAGGAGGAGGAGGAGAGGAGAGGAGGAGGAGGAGGAGGAGAGAAGGAGGAGGAGGAGGAGGGAGGAGGAGGAGGAGGAAGAGGAGGAGGAGGAGAAGGAGGAGGAGGAGGAGGATGAGGGGGAGGAGGAGGAGGAGGAGAGGAGGAGGAGGAGGAGGAGGAGGAGGGGAGGAGGAGGAAGAGGAGGAGGAGGAGGAGGAGGAGGAGGAGGAGGAGGATAACGAGGAGGAGGACGAGGAGGAGGAGGGAAACATGGACGAGGAGGAGAAAACCGAGGAGGAGGAGGAGGAAGAGGAGGAACGGAACGGAAGGACCCGCGGGGGAGTACGATGATGATGATAATGATAATGATAATGATAATGATGATGATGATGATGATGATGATGATGATGATGATGATGATGATGATGATGATGATGATGATGATGATGATGATGAGCCCGACCCCTCCCCAGGCGCGGCCGGACAACACAATTCTCTGTTCTTTCATCCAGATCGTATCTCTCGGACGGTGCAGCGGTTGACTTCACAAACGGCGGAACCGATCGTCCCCTCTTCTGAATTAAAGTTGTGGCGGAGGCCACGCCAAGCGGGGAGGGTGTGGGGGAGCTTGAGCGAATTTGGTCCGAGCCCAAAAAAGGCCGCGGAAGGACAGGCGTGCAACGGCGTTTCAAGAACATGCTCAGCCCGACCCCTCCCCAGGCGCGGCCAGACAACACTATTCTCTGTCCTTTCATCCAGATCGTATCTCTCGGACGGTGCAGCGGTTGACTTCACAAGCGGCGGAACCGATCGTCCCCGAATCAGCCCGAATTGGCCCCTGGTCCATGTCAACAAACCAGGCGGGTTAAATTGTCAATATGATTTCTGTCGGCGGCACCCCTAAAGTGTAAGCTGAGACGAGAGGCCGGCGCAGCCTCGAAGAAAACGAGGGGCGACTTACTAGGAGCAGACACACGGCGGTGGCGACAGAGGAAATCATTACAAACAAAAGGCCCACCCGAGGCCGTTAAGATGTCGAGCGGGCCGTGGCGACACAAAGCCGAAAAAGCACAGGGGGGCACTCTGGAGGTCCAGACGCCACGGGCCCGACACCAAAAACCGAGATAATCCTGAACAGGCTCTAGTTGCTCCTTGCAAGGACTGATTGCAATCGCTGGGCGCCCAACGGAAAAAGCAGCATTAGCAATCTTAAGCAGGATTTGGATGCACTGGGCAATAGTTGCACGGAGCTGGTAACTACTGTCCCCTGTGTGATCGGCACTCAAGTCGGGAAGCGTCACCACAACGCCGCGCACGGCACAATAACCGACCCACCCAATGAGCATCTTTCGGGCGACCGAGATGATATCACACATGGAGGCGCTGACCCACACTGCACCGTGCTCACTGGACTCACAAAGACATCGACTCACCTCACCCTTCGAGAATCCAACTTCGAGGAAAACTTGACTGTTTGTTCACACCCGAATGTGAGGCCTTGGCGCAGCTGGCGCGCAAGGCCTCGAGCATACTCTGCGGCAGAAAGGCGGGAGCCTGCAAGACGTCTATCCCGCCGAGCAGGCCGCCCAGCCGCGCGTGGATCGTCTCGCTCCAGTCGACCACGGCCTGCGGCGCCCTGTTCAGCAGGGCAAGGTAGCGGACGTGCTTGGCGTAGCGCAAGCTGCTGTGCGGGTTGCCGTGCCGCAGTCGCTCGGTGATCCCGCTGAGGGAGAGCAGGTCCATGGCCGCCGCGTGACTCGCAGCCCCGTGGTGCACCTGGTAGGCGACCGCCGCGGGCGCCTCGGGCAGGGCGGCCAGCCGCTCCTCGAACCGCTCGGTGAATCAGGCCCCGTCGAACGACCAGAGCTGGCAGCTGGGGCCCCGAGCTCCTCGGAGGCGCCGCAGGGCCACGCTGCCGCCGCCGCTCCAGCAGGCCTCGCGCAAGATCACACCCTCGTCGGCGCCCATATCCTTGCTCCTCGCCTCCTCCTCGCTGGGGTAGAGGAGAAGGGCCCACGCGGGCTTCACCGCCCTGCCAGGCCCGATCAAGGTCTTGGGCGTCATGCTCACCAGGTCGGACGGCAAGCGCAGCATGCCGTCCCAGGCCAGCCACAGCGCCGTCGCGAACTCCAGGTCCTCCAGCAGCAGGCTGACTCCGACCGCCGCCAGCACCCAAGGCCGGCACAGAGGGTCTCGAGTCCCTCCTCGGGCGCGGCGGCGGAACCCAGCCACCGCTGCTCGAGCCACGGGAAAGTTGCCGTGGCGAGCCGCCCCCAAGCTGGGTCGCAGGTACTGCAGGGCAGCCAGCAGCCTCGAGCCCTCGCCGACCTCCATCCCGTCGAAGATCAGGACGTCCATGTAGATGGCCGCCAGCTGGTCGAGGCGCCGAGTGGAGATCTCCGCCGGCGTGCCCTCGTTGGCCCACTCTAGGAAGTTCCGTACTCGCTCTCGGAAGGCGGTACGCGTGGGCGGCTTGACCTTGTTGGTCTGCAAGAAGGTGAGCCCAGGCTCGACGCCCCCCCGCGCGTCGCCGTGGCGGGCCGTCCTGGTGCTCGCCCGCTCTCCTCAAGATCTCGGCCCGAGTCACAGGCCGACCCGCCCGACTCCGTGTCGCTGGTGGAGGAGCTGTCGGAGCTGAGGCTGCGGCGGTGCTCGACCCCGTTGGCGTCTCCCAGCGGGTCCTCCTGGCCACCATTCGGCTGGGCAGGTTCTCTTGGCAGTGAGGTCCCGCCCAGGCTGCTCGCGCTCCTCAACCTCGCCGAGGAAGCGCGTGCCGCCCGCGTCCCGCCAGGTGGCTGCCTCGCCGCAAGCGCGGGCGAGGGCCGAGGCAGCAAGGCCCCGCGCCTCGTCGGCCCCGAGCTGGCCAGCATGGCGGCAATCGCCTTCGTGGGAGCTGAGCGGTCGCCCGATGGTGCGGCTCCCCTTGTCCGCCGAGTTAAGATCATTTGGGAACCAGCGTACGGCTACGGACGATCCCGTCAGGATACTCAAGGCGGCCAGCTCTCTGCACGTCTGATTTAGAACATAATGTGACGATCTTCCCTTTTTCCAGTGCAAGTGTCAAACTTAAATTGTCGCACAGGCTCAGGATGACATGACCGAAAGCTCCTGCCCATCGAAGCCGATGTCTCACGCCAGTGATCAGCGCACGGCCCTCCAGACGCATGATGTCCTCAGGGCGCAGCCAGCGCCCGAACACCTTCAGCTTCCATGAGTCCAGCGGCAACAAGAAGCTCGGGTCGATCTCCTCGAAATTCACCTGGTGCTCGACCGATGTTGACACACACACACACACACACTGCACAGGCTGGGCAGCACTCGACATCCGAGTTGACCCCCTCGCTCTTGAGGGGCAGGACCGTGTCAGACGTCTCAGGGTCCTCGACAAGGCCTGTCACGCCAGTCAGCCCCCTGGCCTCGTCACCTCGTTCGAGTTCACGCGCAGCCTGGAGAGCATGTCGCCGAGCCTCTATGGCACCCTCGAACTTGTACCGCCAACGCTCCATACAAGAGGCTGCGGCCCAGACGTCGTGCCGAGTCCAGGTCTTCTCCGTCACGGCGTAGCCTCCGAACCCCGTGCCCTCCAGGTCTCCTGAACCCGTGGAGGCGTCCGTAGCTAGCACCACGGGGTCCACCTCCAGCTTGGTGCCCAGGTAAGCGAAGGCGATGAGAGCTGCTGCCACGCGGCATTCAGTGGCCACCTCGGGCCAAAGACGCCAACGCCGCGGCCCTGCAGCCGAGAGAAACGATAGGCACCGTGGAAGAAGCTCAGCAAACAACGCCGCAAGATGGCGGCCCACGTGCAGTGGCCGAGGAGCGAGAGCATGTCGTCGCCGCTGCAGTAGCCGCGCTCGGCGACCTCCAGCAACGCCAAGCGCAGCCTCCAGATGCGGCCCTTGCTCACGGGTGTGCGGCCTGTCTCGAAATCGAAGTTCAAGCCCGTGAAATTCTGATCCCGCGGGTCCGACTGCACCCCCTTGCACTTCAGATGGCTGGCCTCCAGGTGCTGGTGGACCTGCTCAATCGTCGTGCTCACGGACACAGGGGCGCACCCGATGGCGGCCACGCCGTCGACGCACACGGCGACGCCCGCAGTCTCGCTCACGTCGGGCACTACACACCTGTCCTGTATGATGCGGTTCGCGCGGATGCCAGCCGCAACGACCTGAGATACCACCAGCGCTTGGCAGAAGTACAAGCTCCAACTCCAGCCCGTGGGAAAGACAGTGGGCAAAGGCGAGACCTTGCCCTCCAGCCGAGACCCGATGTCCACCTCGGGCAGCGCCTCCAGCAACGCGTCCACGGGCACCGCAGGCAGCACGAACATCTCGTCCAGCCCTGGCGGCGCTCCGATGCGATAGAAGGCCGCCTCGATGTCCACTTGGCTCAGCGAGAGGTTGTGGCTGGCTTGGATCTTCAGGCCCTGCCAGACGCCAGCCGATGGCAGCGCGGTCGTGTCAGGATCGATGAACTCCTGATTGACAGCTCTCGCGTCGAGGATCACCCTCAGCTGGTTCCCCGACTTCTCAACAAAGAACAAGCCCACCGTGGAAGGGCGTGGGGCAGAAAAACGAATCACACCCGCCTTGTACATTTCGCTCAAGAAGCAAGCATAGTGGCGTGGAGACCGCCGCAGCTTCCCATCGAAGTACGGAACGACTCGGTCGCGAACCTGTTCGGGATCGCGTAGCAGTCGCTGACGCCAATCATGCCACAACTCGCGGGGGTGACCGTCCAGCAGCTCGGAAGCGTCGCACTTCGCGGCGTCGCTGGGGAGACTCACACGACCTTCGATGTACACGGTGGACTTCACGGGCTGACAGTCATAGCCTGGTGTACTTCGGCACAGCTCCGTGATGGCCGCCGCCGCAGTGCAAGGTGGCCCACCAAGGGCCTGAATTCTAGTACTCATTTGCTCGATGCCTTGGCGTTAACCCATGGAGAGAGACTCGAAGTTGCTCGACACGCCCCGCCCGCACAGCCAATTGAGACCGTGTAGAGCTTCACATGCCCAGCGAGAAGAATAGAAATATTGGCGAGCACGGCTTCTCCGATGTCGCGTCGAGGAGTAGAAGCCGTTGAAGTCCTCCTCGACCCGTAAAGCCGCGGGGACTGGGAACAGCTCCCGTGGCGCCGCCATCGCTGAGACTACTTGCTATCCGCGGCCGCAGCCGCTCCTGATTTGCCTTTCCCCTTCCGGTCGGTGGCTGCCAACTTCTCCTTGACAGACTTGTTCTCACTCGCCAGCTTGTCGGCGCGGCTCTGCAGGCCCGCTGAGTTGTCATGGCCTCCGCTGCCGCCTGCGCCGCCACGCCGAGCTGTCGATCTCTCCTCCCGTACTTTGCGTCTCTCTTTGAGCACAATCGCATCCTTGTGCAACTCAGCTGCCACGTAGCTTGAGAGGGCGGGCGAGATCATCATGAGGCCGCGGGTCTCCGACGTGCCGAAGTAGATGTGCTCGTCCTCGGCCAAATCATCGCCCGCGGCGCCCATGCGGTGGAGATACCTATCCCTGTACTTATACTCAATCATCTGCGCCTTCCTGCAGATCAGCTCAAAGATCGCAAGCTCTGACACGCTCAGCTGGTCAAACTGAATGCCAATCTGCAGCAGACGTCGGCAGAACTCGTGAAAGTCGACCCCTGGATCTGACGACGACAGCCCCGCCTCGGCCTTGAACCGAGCGTGGCGGGAGCGAGGCGCAACATCCTGGTCCCGAATGAAGTGGCACACCCAACCCGCGGTCCTCGGGCCCAGCAAGGGCCAGGACGGCCAGGCAGTCTCCGTGAGCTGCTTCACACCCTCGCGGAACCCCAGGTGACGCCCGTCCCCTGCGCTCTTGTGGATCGCCAGCCCCCGTGCGTCGAGGGCCGTCCCTGGGCTCCCGTACTGCACGAGGAAGCTGCTGTTGCCGACCTTCACGAAGCCCAGGCCCTCGCCGATCACCCCGAAGTCCACGGACAGGCTGGGCAGCTTGGCAGAGCTGCTCTGGTCGCTGCCCGCGATGATATACCACCCCTTGCTATCTGGGTCGGGCAGGTTGGACGCGCTCTCCCAGTCAGGCGGCATCGGAGCTGAATCCGAGTCCAAGCCCGCCTCCTTGGGCGCTGCTGGTCGTCTCAGCATCGTCTCCACCTCGCCGAAGGACCGTGCCGACGCGGCCGCCACCGCCTCCAGGAACTCCCGCGGCTCGGGTGCCCAGTCGGCGCCGTACGACCTCGCGTTGGCGGCTGGGGCCGTGCCAACCACTGACGCGCGGTCCCTCTGCCCGCGGAGGACTCTCACTGCGCCCTGGATCGCGTCGGGATGCAGCACGTGGGGATACATGTCGCCGTCGGGCGTGATCATGTATGCGATCTCGCGTCTCTCCTCCGCTCCTGCTGGAGGTGCTGTCCCCATCACTGTCGTGAACTCGGCGGCGGTGGCGAAGCCCACGACGACGCGCGCCTGCCAGCTCCCGTCCGCGCGCCATTGCACCTCGATGCGGTCGCCGATCGCCCAGGCCGCAGCAGCAGCCGTTGGCGCCGAGCAGCGCCCCCAGCAACACTCCTCCGATCAGCACGGTCCCGAAAGCGACGCGCACGCCGCCGAACACCTGCACGGCTATCGCACAAGAGCCCGCCTTTGAGACCACCGCACTCTCGAGCACACGGTCCGCGAGCCAGGTCGCCGCCCTGAGCGAGGCCTGCACAGCAGCTGACATGGGCCGCCGTGAATTAGCTTGAGCGACTTTGGTCGGAGCCCAAAAGGGGCCGCAGAAGGACAGACGGGGAACAGCGTTTCAAGACCATGCTCATGATGATGATGATGATGATGATGATGATGATGATGATGATGATGATGATGATGATGATGACGATGATGACTATGAGGAGGATGAGGAGGACGAGGAAGAGGAGGAGGCAAAAGGAAGAAGAGGAGGGAGAGGGGCGGGAAGAAATGGAGGCGAAAGGAAGGGCGATGGCTCTGGGAGCTGAGCGGCCAAAGGGGAAGGGGGGGGAGCTTCAAGCCCCCCCCTTTTGCACCAAGGGAGGGAGGGTGGGGGGCTTCCAAAGCCCTCCCCCCCTTCAAAGGGGGGGGGGGGGGCTCACCCCAGAGGAGGGAAGGGGGGGTAGCTTGGAAGCCCCTCTCCCCTTGTCCGGCCACGAAAAGAGGGGGAGGGGGGGGGTAGCTTCCAAAGCCCCCCCCCCTTTCAAAGGGGGGGGGGGCTCACCCCGGCTCAATTAAAGGGAGGGAGGGGGGGGGGGTAGCTTGGAAGCCTCCCGCCCTTTCCGGACCACGAAAAGGAGGGGGAGGGGGGGGGCTTCCGAAGCCCCCCCCCCTTTAGCAAGGAAGGGGGGAGGGGGGTAGCTTCAAGCTGGGGCCCCCCTTCTAGTCTGTCGGGCCCCACGAGCGCGGTCTATCGAAGGGAGGCGCAGACGGATGCGGCTCGGCGCAGAGGAGGAGGACCAGTGCAAACACAAGACTCATCAACGATGTTGGAATAAACCCTCTCTCCAAGCTCCCTCTTCACATGCCCCTACAAGACTTAATTTCCCCTTGTCTTCCCTCCTGCAGGTCTGTGAGGAGCATGTCCCCGACCTCCTTCAGCGCCATGAGGTCTCCCCGGACCTGGAGGAGGGAAAAGGAGACGAGGAGAGGGAGGGAGAGGCATTGTAGGAGAAAAAGGGGGGCAGGAAGAGGAGGTCGGGGAGCAGGAGAAGAGGAGTGGGAGGGTAACGAAAACGATGGATGATGATAGTGATATGCTGCTACTCGAGAGCTAAGGACGATGCTTGCTACATTCGTGGCGACGCCGAGCGAGTAAGAGGCGAACAGCCGCGAGCGAGCACGAGACATTGCCGCGGCCAATGTGGGCCGTATCTTGCGAGAGTGGGTTGGGCAATATCGGGTATGCTGGATTCTGGGCGGCCCACTCTTCGATCCGATTCAACCGTCCGAATAAGATTACAGGATTATGGCCGGAGTGCAGTATCCCCAAACAGGGTTTTTAGACCCACTGCGGTTTCCAAGGTCGATTCCGTGCCCGTCCAGTGCGGGCTGGCATGGCATGTTTAAACACGCCTTCTCCTCCTCCTCCTCCTCCTCCTCCTGCTCCTCCTCCTCCTGCTCCTCCTCCTCCTCCTCCTCCTCCTCTTCATCCCGAACGGCATCTCGGAGCCCAGAGTTGCGAGGATGTCTCCAGCGTGACGGGCTGGACCACCTCGCGCGCGGCATTTCGGACCCCAGAGTTGCGACGATGTCTCGGGCGAAACGCGCTGCGAGGAAGTCTCAGGCGAAACGGGCCGGACCACCTCGAGCGCGGCGTCTCAGAGCTCCGAGTTGCGGGGGCCTCCTGAAGCCTCCTGGGACCTCCTGGTGGCCTCCTGGGGCTTCCTCCTGGTCCTCCTGTGGCCTCCTAGACCCCACCTGGGGCTTCCTGAATTGGGAGCTCCCAGGGGGGGATATCTAACATGTGGCCGTCGGGGCCCCCCAAAATGGGGGGGGCACAAGAGCAGGAAAATCAACGAATCCCGGCACCGGATGTGTATTAACTTGACACGTTCTGAGAGGGGGCCTCCTGGGGCCTCCTGGGAGCCTCCTGGGAATCTCCTGGGGACCCCTGGGGCCTGTCCTGGGCGTCCTGCGGCCTCCTGAAGCTCTCTGGGGCCTCCTCGGAGCCACATGTGGTCTTCTGGGCCCCCAGGCTGGACCACCTCTTGCGCAGCATCTGAGAGCTCAGAGTTGCGAGAATGTCTTGTGCGAAACGGGCCGCCTTGCGCACGGCATCTCAGAACTCTGAGTTGCGAGGATGTCTCGGGAGAGATGGGGGCCGGAACAACTCGCGCAGGGCATATCTCGGAGCCCAGAGTTGCGAGGATGTCTCCAGCGTAACGGTCTGGACCACCTCGCGCGCGGCATTTCGGACCCCAGAGTTGCGACGATGTCTCGGGCGAAACGCGCTGCGAGGAAGTCTCAGGCGAAACGGGCCGGACCACCTCGAGCGCGGCGTCTCAGAGCTCCGAGTTGCGGGGGCCTCCTGAAGCCTCCTGGGACCTCCTGGTGACCTCCTGGGGCTTCCTCCTGGGTCTCCTGTGGCCTCCTGGACCCCACCTGGGGCTTCCTGAAGCCTCTTTGGGCTCCCAGGGGGGGATATCTAACATGTGGCCGTCGGGGCCCCCAAAAATGGGGAGGGGGCCACAAGAGCACGAAAAATCAACGAATCGACACCGGATGTGTATTAACTGGACACGTTCTGATAGGTGGCCTCCTGGGGCCTCCTGGGAGCCTCCTGGGAATCTCCTGCGGACCCCTTGGGCCTGTCCTGGGCGTCCTGCGACCTCCTGAAGCTCTCTTGGGCCTCCTGGGGCTCCCAGGGTCCCAGGGGGGATATGTAACATGTGGTCTTGTGGGCCCCCAGGCTGGACCACCTCTTGCGCAGCATCTGAGAGCTCAGAGTTGCGAGAATGTCTTGTGCGAAACGGGCTGGACCACCCCCACGGCATCTCAGAGCTCAGAGTTGCGAGGATGTCTCAGGCGAGATGGGCCAGACCACCTCGCGCAGGGCATCTCGGAGCCCAGAGTTGCGAGGATGTCTCCAGCGTGACGGGCTGGACCACCTCGCGCGCGGCATTTCGGACCCCAGAGTTGCGACGATGTCTCGGGCGAAACGTGCTGCGAGGAAGTCTCAGGCGAAACGGGCCGGACCACCCCGAGCGCGGCGTCTCAGAGCTCCGAGTTGCGGGGGTCTCCTGGGGCCTCCTGGGGCCTCCTGGTGACCTCCTGGGGCTTCCTCCTGGGCCTCCTGTGGCCTCCTGGACCCCACTTGGGGCTTCCTGAAGCCTCTTGGGGCTCCCAGGGTGGGATATCTAACATGTGGCCGTCGGGGCCCCCCAAAATGGGGAGGGGCCACAAGAGCAGGAAACATCAACGAAACGACACCGAATGTGTATTAACTGGATACGTTCTGATAGGGGGCCTCCTGGGGCCTCCTGGGAGCTTCCTGGGAATCTCCTGGGGTGCGGCTTCCTGAAGCTCTCTGGGGCCACCTGGGGCTCCCAGGGTCTCAAAGGGGATATCTAACATGTGGCCGCTTGGGCCCCCAGGCTGGACCACCTCTTGCGCGGCATCTGGGAACTCAGAGTTGCGAGAATGTCTTGTGCGAAACGGGCTGGACCAACTTGCGCACGGCATCTCAGAGCTCAGAGTTGCAAGGATGTCTCAGGCTAGACGGGCCGGTGTCTCGGGCGAAACGCGCTGCGAGGAAGTCTCAGGCGAAACGGGCCGGATCACCTCGAGCGCGGCGTCTCAGAGCTCCGAGTTGCGGGGGCCTCCTGGTGTCTCCTGGGGCCTCCTGGGGACCTCCTGGGGCTTCCTCCTGGGCCTCCTGTGGCCTCCTGAACTCCACCTGGGGTTTCCTGAAGCCTCTTGGGGCTCCCAGGGGGGATATCAAACCTGTGGCCGTTTGGGCCTCTCCAAATGGAGGGGGGGGCACAAGAGCAGGAAGAATCAACGAATCGACACCGGATGTGTATTAACTTGACACGTTCTGATAGGCGGCCTCCTGGGGCCTCCTGGGAGCCTCCTGGGAATCTCCTGGGGACCCCTGGGGCCTGTCCTGGGCGTCCTGCGGCCTCCTGGAGCTCTCTGGGGCCTCCCCCTCCTCCTGCCTGCTCCCTCATGCACATCATCCGCCTCCTCCTTCTCCCTTCCATCTTCTCCTCCTCCTCCTCCTCCTCCTCCTCCTCCTCCTCCTCCTGCACCTCCTCTTCATCCCGAACGGCATCTCGGAGCCTAGAGTTGCGAGGATGTCTCCAGCGTAACGGGCTGGACCACCTCGCGCGCGGCATCTCGGACCCCAGAATTGCGACGATGTCTCGGGCGAAACGTGGCGCGAGGAAGTCTCAGGCGAAACGGGCCAGACCACCTCGAGCGCGGCGTCTCAGAGCTCCGAGTTGCGGGGGCCTCCTGGTGCCTCCTGGGGCCTCCTGGGGACCTCCTGGAGCTTCCTCCTGGGCCTCCTGTGGCCTCGTGAACTCCACCTGGGGTTTCCTGAAGCCTCTTGGGGCTCCCAGGGGGGATATCTAACCTGTGGCCGTTTGGGCCTCTCCAAATGGAGGGGGGGGCACAAGAGCAGGAAGAATCAACGAATCGACACCGGATGTGTATTAACTTGACACGTTCTGATAGGCGGCCTCCTGGGGCCTCCTGGGAGCCTCCTGGGAATCTCCTGGAGACCCCTGGGGCCTGTCCTGGGCGTCCTGCGGCCTCCTGGTGTCTCCTGGAGCCTCCTGGGGACCTTCTGGGGCTTCCTCCTGGGCCTCCTGTGGCCTCCTGAACTCCACCTGGGGTTTCCTGAAGCCTCTTGGGGCTCCCAGGGGGGATATCAAACCTGTGGCCGCTTGGGCCCCTCAAAATGGAGGGGGGGGCACAAGAGCAGGAAGAATCAACGAATCGACACCAGATGTGTATTAACTTGACACGTTCTGATAGGCGGCCTCCTGGGGCCTCCTGGGAGCCTCCTGGGAATCTCCTGGGGACCCCTGGGGCCTGTCCTGGGCGTCCTGCGGCCTCCTGGACCTCTCTGGGGCCTCCTGAGGCTCGCAGGGTCCCATGGAGGATATGTAACATGTGGTCTTCTGGGCCCCCAGGCTGGACCACCTCTTGCGCAGCATCTGAGAGCTCAGAGTTGCGAGAATGTCTTGTGCGAAACAGGCCGGACCACCTTGCGCACGGCATCTCAGAGCTCAGAGTTGCAAGGATGTCTCAGGCGAGACGGGCCAGACCACCTCGCGCAGGGCATCTCAGAGCTCAGAAGTTCGAGGATGTCTCAGGCGAAACGGGCCGGACCACCTCTCGCGCGGCATCTCCGAAGTCAGAGTTTCGAGGATGTCTCAGGCGAAACGGGCCGGACCACCTCGCGCAAGGCATCGCAGAGCTCAGAGTTTCGAGGATGTCTCAGGCGAAACGGGCCGGACCACCTCTCGCGCGGCATCTCCGACAGAGTTTCGAGGATGTCTCAGGCGAAACGGGCCGGACCACCTCGCGCAAGGCTCAGAGTTTCGAGGATGTCTCAGGCGAAACGGCCCGGACCACCTCTCGCACGGCACCTCGGGGCTCAGAGTTTCGAGGATGTCTCAAGCGAAACGGCCCGGACCACCTCTCGCGCGGCGTCCCGGAGCGCAACTTTTCGAGGATGTCTCAGGCGAAACGGCCAATCCCGGCCAACTCAGAAACGAGAGTTGTGAGGATGTCTCAAGCGAAACGGCCAAAACCATAAAATTTGTGTGAGGATGTCTCTGCTCCGCGTTCCATCGGCCGGAGTTCGTTTCTACCACAACAGCACCTCGTTCAGCAAGCTGTTTGGGGAAAAATCGTGGCGTCGGATGTCTGCGGGGGGCGGAAGGCAGGGCGCGCATGGCGGCATCTCGGAGCTTCGCATTGTGAGGATGGCTCGGGAGAAACGGGCTGGACCACCTCGCGTGCGGCATCTCGGAACTCAGTATTGGAAGGATGCCCCAAGCGAAACGGGCCGTTCTACCTCTCGACTCCCGTTAAGCCCTCTCATGCAACTCCATTCCTAATCCTCCTCCTCCTCCTCCTCCTCCTCCTTCTCGTCCTCCTCCTCCTCCTCCTGCCTGCTCCCTCCTCCTCCTCCTCCTCCTCCTCCTCCGGCACGTTTTGAGACGTCGCTAAAAGGTATATAGAAATCCTGTTTGGGGAACCCTGTCTCGGAGCCCAGAGTTGCGAGGATGTCCCAGGTCGCACCTGGTCGACGAGTAAGCTGTCGGGTCGCGGGCTTCTTTAAGAAGCAAACTTTAAGAGGAACTCAAAAGCAACTTTAAGAGGAAGCGGGGGAGGGCGCGGAAGCGGGGGGGCATGTCGTGATGGTTCCCTCGGGGATGATATCGAGAGGTGCGCGGCGCACGTCTCAAAAGAAAAATCGTGACGTCGGATGCCTGGGGAGGGCGGAAGGCAGTGCGCGCATGACGGATGCTGAGGCGGCAGAAACGACGACGGCAGGGACGGGGAGGCGGAGGCAGAGGCGCAGCAGCGGGAGGCGGGAGGAGGGAGGAGGGAAGAGGAACCAGGCGGGAAGTGGGAAGAGGGAGGCGGGAGAAGGAATGAGAGAGGTTGTGATTGGAGCTCCTGTGCTACGAAACGTCTCAGGCAGAATGGGCCAGACCATCTCGCGCGCAACATCTTCGAGCCTCGCATTGCGAGGATGGCTCAATCGAAACGGGCCGGACCACCTCGCGAGCGACATCTTGGAGCTCAGTATTGGAAGGATGTCTCAAACGAAACGGGCCGGACAATCTTTCGCACACGTTTTGACAAGTCCACATCGCACTCGCTTCCCGTTAGGTCCTCTCCTGCAACTCCCTTCCTTCTCCCTCCTCCTCCTCCTCCTCCTCCTCCTCCTCCTCCTCCTCCTCCCCCTCCTCCTGCCTGCTCCCTCATGCACATCATCCGCCTCCTCCTTCTCCCTTCCATCTCCTTCTCCTTCTCCTCCTCCTCCTCCTCCTCCTCCTCCTCCTCGACCTCCTCTTCATCCCGAACGGCATCTCGGAGCCTAGAGTTGCGAGGATGTCTCCAGCGTAACGGGCTGGACCACCTCGCGCGCGGCATCTCGGACCCCAGAGTTGCGACGATTTCTCGGGCAAACGTGCTGCGAGGAAGTCTCAGGCGAAACGGGCCGGACCACCTCGAGCGCGGCGTCTCAGAGCTCCGAGTTGCGGGGGCCTCCTGAAGCCTCCTGGGGACCTCGTGGGGCTTCCTCCTGGGCCTCCTGTGGCCTCCTGAACTCCAAAGCCTCTTGGGGCTCCCAGGGGGGATATCTAACCTGTGGCCGTTTGGGCCTCTCCAAATGGAGGGCACAAGAGCAGGAAGAATCAACGAATCGACACCGGATGTGTATTAACTTGACACGTTCTGATAGGCGGCCTCCTGGGGCCTCCTGGGAGCCTCCTGGGAATCTCCTGGAGACCCCTGGGGCCTGTCCTGGGCGTCCTGCAGCCTCCTGGTGCCTCCTGGGGCCTCCTGGGGACCTCCTGGAGCTTCCTCCTGGGCCTCCTGTGGCCTCCTGAACTCCACCTGAGGTTTCCTGAAGGCTCTTGGGGCTCCCAGGGGGGATATCTAACCTGTGGCCGCTTGGGCCCCTCAAAATGGAGGGGGGCACAAGAGCAGGAAAAATCAACGAATCGACACCGGATGTGTATTAACTTGACACGTTCTGATAGAGGGCCTCCTGGGGCCTCCTGGGTGCCTCCTGGGAATCTCCTGGGGACCCCTGGGGCCTCCTGGGCGTCCTGCGGCCTCCTGGAGCTCTCTGGAGCCTCCTGAGGCTCGCAGGGTCTTATGGAGGATAGGTCACATGTGGTCTTCTGGGCGCCCAGGCTGGACCACCTCTCGCGCAGCATCTGAGAGCTCAGAGTTGCGAGAATGTCTTGTGCGAAACAGACCGGACCACCTTGCGCACGGCATCTCAGAGCTCAGAGTTGCAAGGATGTCTCAGGCGAGACGGGCCGGACCACCTCGCGCAGGGCATCTCAGAGCTCAGAATTTCGAGGATGTCTCAACGAAACGGGCCGGACCACCTCTCGCGCGGCATCTCCGAAGTCAGAGTTTCGAGGATGTCTCAGGCGAAACGGGCCGGACCACCTCGCGCAAGGCATCGCAGAGCTCAGAGTTTCGAGGATGTCTCAGGCGAAACGGCCCGGACCACCTCTCGCACGGCACAGTTTCGAGGATGTCTCAAGCGAAACGGCCCGGACCACCTCTCGCGCGGCGTCCCGGAGCGCAACTTTTTGAGGATGTCTCAGGCGAAACGGCCCGGACCACCTCTCGCACGGCGTCCCGGAGCGCAACTTTTCGAGGATGTCTCAGGCGAAACGGCCCGGACCACCTCTCGCACGGCACCTCGGGGCTCAGAGTTTCGAGGATGTCTCAAGCGAAACGGCCCGGACCACCTCTCGCGCGGCGTCCCGGAGCGCAACTTTTCGAGGATGTCTCAAGCGAAACGGCCCGGACCACCTCTCGCGCGGCGTCCCGGAGCGCAACTTTTCGAGGATGTCTCAGGCGAAACGGCCAATCCCGGCCAGCTCAGAAACGAGAGTTGTGAGGATGTCTCAAGCGAAACGGCCAAAACCATAAAATTTTTGTGAGGATGTCTCTGCTGCGACTTCCCTCGGCCGGAGTTAGTTTCTACTACAACGGCACCCCGTTCAGCAAGCTGTTTGGGGAATTTTGTTGTGGATGGTGACGAAAGAGAAAAAGGAAAGGAGCAGGATAATAATGAAGGTCCACCCCTGACCTCCTCCATACTCGCCTCGAACGCGGAACTCTGCTCCGACAAGCGCTGGAGCTGAGACTCCACCTAGGGCCAGACCAACTTGCCACTCTCTCGGGCGTCCCCATCCAGCGTGGGCTGCACCCCTCTCCTTTTCCTCCTCCTCCTCCTCCTGCTCCTCTTCTCCTCCCTTCCTTCCCGTCCCCATGCACGTCCTCATCAGTGAGACCCGTCCTCTTCTCCTGGGCAACATATTGGCCTGGCCAGGGTCGGTGTAGGTGTATATCGTTGGTTCGTGGAGCACTGATTTCTGACACAACAGGATTGATACATCGTCAGCGATCTCCACCATACTAGGGAGCCCACAAAGGACGTACGCGCCCAGCTATGTACATGAACACGGCCCCTCGATTCGCGAGACCGGCCGCGTTATACGAACATTTTTGCAGTGCGTGCTCTCGAAACCAGCGTGGATTCATGTACATGTACGTCCTTCTTTCGCTCCTGACATACGCAGCCTGGTTCAAACAGCCGCTGGTCTTCAGCCTTGAGCGCCCGCGCTGGCGTCGCCGCAGCGTCGACGCCTGGCGCAAACCACCCGGGCCAATCACGGGCATGTCCCAAACTCGGGTCAGAAGAGAAATAGGGCGGGGCCTCCGCCCCACGTGGCCCCCAAACCCAGGTACACCCTGCGAAATGCTTAAGAAATCATGGGTTAAGAAATTCATAGTCTCAGAACTTGCGTGAGAACCCAACATCTCTATTAAAATCTTGAGATTTACATTGAAACGTTAATAATAATCGAGACCCTGGCCGAAAATTCAAGTTTTCTTAAGCATCGCCTCAGGTGTGCGCCGGAAAGGATTTGCTGACACCCGTTGGGGCTGACCCCGCTACAGTCAACCCGTATAACAGGACGCGCGATGAGGATGCAAGAGGCATTGGAAGGCTATGACGACAAAATTTGCGGGCGGGGGGCGCGGCCAGCGAAAACGGCCAATGATGAGCCGAAGCGGAAGGACGCAAAAGGATAACCTTGGAAAACTGCTCATCCTCACCGTGCGGGTTGACTGCACCTGCGCCCCAACCCCAGCCTCGAACGCCCGCGCTGGCGTCGCCGCTGCGGCGATACGGCACCAACCTGCCGCACGGTTATCGGCTACACGCGGGAGAGACCCTAGGCAAGGGTGACCTTGGGTGCGCGGCTCTGGGGTGCCGCGGGAGGGCCGACACAAGCGCGCAAGATAATGCCGCACCGAGAGGTCACTCCAGCCAAAGGTCCCGTACGTGTAGCCGAAGTGAGCGCCAGCCAGCTTCGCCCCGGGCTCGCCTGTGCCAGGCGCGCGGCGTCCTCCGAGGGCGCGGGTCCGCCTTCTGCAGGGAGGGCAGTGCAGATTCGGAAGGACAGGAGGCACTCGTCAAGACCACCAGTCAAACCCCCCAGCCCTGCCTATCCAGTGGCGGCGCGTCTGAGGGGATGAGGCGAGGGAATGGGCATCCACCCGTTTCAAATTCCAGAATCACCCTGGAACCATTCCGGGGTGAAAATTGAACCGGAAACGGGTGATTTTCCATCTGGGCGCTCTCAGGAGCCCTATGGGCCGCCTCTCGGGGATAGGGAGGGTGCACCCGAACCCCACAAATAGTTGTTTTCCAAATGAGATCTTCTATTTGGGAGCCTTTTTCTCGCGGCTGGGCCTCCCCGGCCCAAAATCCCCGGTCCTGCCCCCTCCCCTGGACCCCCTCCCTGAAAAGGCTTTGCTCCCTACGAAACATCTCTCGCTCCGCTCTTTCCGTCACCTGGGCCGGCACGGAAACGGAAAGAGCGCCTCAGGAACTTGCCCGAGATGGCTCATGGCACCCTTCGCTCTTGGGAGCCTTGGTGTGAAGAGCTTGTTACGTCGCCGCTCTCCGTTGGGAGCCCTGGTGCTCAGACACTTTTACGTTGCCGCTCGCTCTTGGGAGCCTTGGTGTGACGAGCTTTGTACGTTACCGCGCTCTGGGGAGCCTTGGTGTCAAGAGCTTGCTACGTCACCGCTCGCTGATGGGAGCCATGGTGTTCTTAAGCGTCTCATGGGCCTCGCCGGGGTTTTCTTGGGGCCGTTTTGGAGCCCGTCGGCAGCCCTGTTGGGGCAATTTTGGACCGTCTTGGCGCCCTTTTGGGGCGTCTTCGAGGACTTTTGGCCGTCTTGGGGCACTCTTGGGCGCCTCTTGGGGCCCTCTTGGGAGCATCTTGGGGCCCTCTTGGGGCTTTCTGAGGGCCGTCTTGGGGCCCTCTTGGGCCGTCTTGAGGCCCTTTTGGGCTTTGTTGGGCCCCTCTGGGGCCGTCATGGCGCCCTCTTGGACCATTTTCGGGGCCTCTGGGAACGTCTTGGGACGAACTTCGGGGCCTCGTGGGCTGTGTTGGGCTCTTCTGGGCCCGAAAAGGCGAGCACTTGAAAAACCTTCAAAACGGTAGGGAAATCAATGTTTTTGGCCTCCTGAGGTCCTCTCGAGGGCCCTCTGGAGGGCCTCTGGAGCCGTCTCGAGGCTCTCTTGGACTGTCTGGAGGCCATCTGAAGCTCTCTTGGGGCAGTCTTTGGGCGGTTTTGAAGCCCTCTTGGGACGTCTTGAGACTCTTGAGGCCCTTGAGCCGCTTCGCTTGAAAAAATACAACGCAATGGGCCATGGAATGTGCCCGCGAGCCGCTTCACTCGAAAACATTTACAGGAAATGGCCCCCCTGGCCATTGACGTCCGAAGGTCCGGCCCTGGCCCATCCCATGGACCCCTCCCTAAAGGGCTTCGCCCTGCCAGAACGTCATCACTCGTACCTCGCTCTTTCCTTCATCTGCCTGACATGGGTACGGAAAGCGCGTTTATTTTGCGTGGGCGCGAGGTCGCTGGCTTAGTGTCTTGGAGCCCTGTTGGTGTTAAGGCTTCGGTGCGACAATACAGCAATCTAGCAACGAACCTTGCGAAAATCAATACATGTTGTATTTCCGGGCCTTCCTGGGGGTCCTTTTGGGAATCCTTTTGGCCGTCTTGGGCCCCTCTGGGCCGACTCGAAACCCTCTTGGGCCGTCTTGGCAAGCTTGGGCAATCTTGGGGCCCTCTGGGGGCCCTCCTGGGTCCCCTTCCGGACCTCCTATGGCCCTCTTGGGGGTCTCTTGGGAACCTTTTGCGGCCCTCAGGGGCCTCTCTTGGGCCGTCTGCGGGCTCTCTTGGGCAATCTTGACTCCCACTTGGGCCGTCTTGGGGGCCTCTAGGGCCGTCTTGGGGCGGTCTTGGGGGCCCCCTGGACCGTCTTGGACGCTGTGAAGACCGAAGAAGCGAATATGCTAAAAATGCACGTTCGCCTCAAGGAATGGGAGTTTGCCTCTTGGGGGTCCCCTTTGGGGGCCTCTTAGCACGTCTTGGGACCTTTGGGGCTGTCTTGAAACCATATTCGGCCCTCTTCGAGCGCTCTTGGTCGTGTTCGGTCCCTTTTGGACCTCTCCGACGCCGTCTTGAAGGTATCTTGGGACCTCTTGGGCCGACTTGGGGGCCTCTTGGGCGTTCTTGGGGCTGACTTGGGTTTTATTGGGCCGCACATGGCCGAAACTTGGGGGTGTTAGATCTGAGGCCCAGGCTGCCTACCACCCCACCTCCCTCGTTATTCCTCCCGACTAACGGACCGCGACGCTATGCGCGCTTTCTGTCATCCGCGCTCCCCTGTTGGCTTGCAGCAGGGGTGTACGGCGTGCTGGGCGTTCGGTAGTTGTTGGTCCTGCTCAATGGTTCACAAGGGGGTCTCAACCGATCGCGCCGACCGCGCGGAAGAGGTGGCACTCAAGGCTTGCTCCGCTCCAGGCTGCTCCAAGATGGCTTCCATGATGGCTGATATGGCCTCCAAGATGGCTCCAAGATGGCCCCAACAGCGCACAGATGGTCGCAAGATGTCTCCAAGACTGCCCAGAATGCTTCCCAGGCGGCCCAAGATGGCCTGAAGATGGCCCAAGGCAGCCCACGAGATCCCCAATAGTCCTCCGAGACTGCTCCAGAGACCTTGAAGAGGTCCTCCAGGAAGGCCCGAAGAGGCCAAAACCATTGATGTTCCATTGGTCTTTGAAGAAGTGTGGCACTTGTATCTTTTCGGCTCTCCGACGGTCCAAGGCGCCTCCAATATGGCCCCAAGACAGCTTCTGAGATCTTCAAGAAGTCCAACATGGCCTCCGAAGACGGCCCTGAACTGCCCCAAGCGGGCCCCAAATCGGATCAGAGAGGCCCTCACGACGGCTTCCGACGGCGTCAGACGGGCCAGGAACGCCCTCAGACAGCCAAAGAGCCTCCTCCCAAGGAGTCCCCAAAGGCCCCCCAAGAGGCCCGACGAAACCCCCAAGAGGCCTCCAAGAAGCCTCCAGGAAGCCCCCGGGAGCCCCCGTGAGTGCCCCGGGAGACTCCCCAGAGGCCTCCTCCTCCTTCTCCTCCTCCTCCCTCTCCTCCTTTCTCCCCCCGTGTTCCCCGAAGGGGTTCCACAACGGCCAAGGGGAACACATGTTGGACAGCTTGGCCGAACTCTGGCCGCAATGTTCTGCCACATATGCGCTTTCAAAAGGCAGGGGGCGGCGGTGATTCGCCGTCGGCATCTTCGATCCGCCGCCCCCTGTGGTCTTGCCACAGAGGTGCACGGCGTCAGATGGGCCAGGAATGAACGCCCTCAGACGGCCAAAGAGCCTGCCAAGGAGTCTCCAAAGAGCCCCATGAAGCCCCCCAAAAAACCCAAGATGCTTCCAAGAGGCCCCCGGGAAGCTCCCAGGAGGCTCCAAGAGTGCCCCAAGAGGCCTCCTCCTACTCGTCATCTTCCTCTTATTGATTTGTTTTTGTTATTTTTGTTTTTGCATTCTTCTTCTTAAAGTTATTATTAGTGCTGTTACTACTATTACTGTTCGTATTACTATTGATAATGGCATTCGTAATAATACTGCCGTTACTATGACGATTATTATTCGTATCACTATTCGTAATCGTCTTCTTCTTGGTTGTATTAGTTTTCTTCGTATTCTTCCTCCTCATCCTCCTCTCCTTTTCCTTTTCCTTAAAAACAGCTTCTCCCTGTCGCACCCCGAGGCTAGTTTTTAGGGCGATCCGGGCGTTTCGCCTGAGATTTCCTCACCATTTAAAACGCTGGAGCTTAAACATTGGCAACAGCTTCACAGATGGAGGGCGGGTCATTTTCAAAATGTCGCTCTTGCCCTAGCGCCGCGCGTATTCGTTTGACAAAAAGTTCAAGATTTTCACGGATTGAGGGCGAGTGACTTTCAAAAAGTGCCTTTCGCCTTAGCGTCGCTCACATTCGCCTCAAAGAACTGCAAGAGTTTCACGGATAGGGGGCGAGTGGTTTTCAAAATGTGGCTCCCGCCTTAGCGCCGCGCACAGTCGTTTAACAAAAATGCAAGAGCTTCACGGATTGAGGGCGAGTGATTCTCAAAATGTGGCTCTCGCGGTTTCCATGATCAGCGTACCAGGAATTGCGCTTTGGAAGGATTCCGGATTATGAGGATGCAGCAGTGAAGTTGATTCGCGGTGTTGAAGTCCCAGGAATGGCGTTCTGGGCCCATTCAAAATCGTCAAGACGCAACAATCAGGTTGATACGTGGCGTTGCAATCCCGAGAACAATGTTTTGGCATGCTTCATGGTCTTCAAACGGTTGCCTTCCAACGAGGCAGTTCCCTCAGTGGAAGGAACCCTTGTAGGGGCCTGTGAAGAGGGAGCTTGGAGGGAGGATTGATTCCGACATCTTTGATGTCTCTTGGGTTTACACTGGTTTTCCTCCTCCTCCTCCTCCTCCTCCTCCTCCTCCTCCTCCTCCTCCTCCTCCTCCCCCCCCTCCTTCCTCCCTATCCGCCTCTTCTCCTCTCCCCCCTCCCACGTGTTCCCTGAAGGGTTTCAACGACGGCTGGGGGGAACACATAGCCCGATAACTTGGCTGAGACTTGGCTGAGATCTGGCCGCAACGTTCGGCCACATAGGCGCTTCCAAAAGGCCAGAAGCGGCGGTGATTCGCCACATGTGTCTTTGATCTGCCTCTGATCGGTTTTGGCCCTGTGGCAAAAAAAATGGTACCGGAGAAAAAAAACCCAATGAGAATCGCTATCGGACCAAAGGGCTATAGGTCTATAGGGCTGAAGGTATATAGAGCTATAGGGCTATAGGGCTATCGGGCTATGGGGCTATAAGGCTATAAGGCTATAGGGCTGTGGGGCTATAAGGGCTATAGGGCTCGATTGGGCTATAGGGCTATATGGCTATAGGGCTATAGCACCATAGGGCTGTAGGTCTCTAGGGCTATAGGACTAGACGGCTATAAGGCTATTAGGGCTATAGGGCTATAAGGCTATGGGGCTATTAGGGCTATAGGGCTATAGGGCTGCAAGGCTATAGGGCTATAGAGCTATAAAGCTATAAGGCTATAAGGCTATAGGGCTATAGGGCTACCGGGCACCCGGGCACCCCCGGGCACCTGGGCTGGCCACCGAAATCGGCGACGCACCTCGTTTAACCATATGAATCCGCTGGGACCCCATACAGAGGCAAGCTCTGATTGGGGAACAATGGCGTATCTGTCGATCTCGCTGGCAACTCGGAAAGCTCACCAACCTTGTAGGCGTGAGTGGTTTAGGGAGTTTCCTTTTCCATCCCCACTTTTCTCCCTTCCGGGAGGGGATTAACCCCTCCCCCTACCAACTCCCCCTGGGCCTGGACGGGGCGTTTCGCGACGCGTTGAAGCATCCCAAACAGCCTCAGCGAGAAGGCAATCATAACTGAGGTTACTAAGGTTGTGGCCCAAGTTTGGCCTCGGGGGGGAGGTTATTGCAATTTACCCCCGCCTCTTCTTCGATCGATCACCTCCAAGATGGCCCCAGGATGGTCCCCGAGGCTCCCAAGAGTGCCCCAAGGTGGCCCCAGGAGGCGCCCAAGAGGCCCCCTAGGAGACTCCCAAGATACCCAAAGAGGCCCCAAGAGGCTCCCTCGAAGCGCCCAAGACGCTTCAAGAGGCCCCCAGGACCGCCAAGAAGCCCCAACGACACCTCAACAAGCCTACTCGAGAGACATCTGAAGATACTCCGATAAGAATCCAAGAGGCCTCTGGCGTTTCTGTTCGCCCTCCTCCTCCTCCTCCTCCTCCTCATCTTCCTCTTGCTGATGCGCATAATTCCTTCCCTCCTTCCCTCCTCCCTCCTCCCTCCTCCCTCCTTCTTCCCCCTCCCCCTTTCCCTCCCCCATCCCCCTCCCCCCTCCCTCCCCTCCCCCCTCTTCCTCTTCCTCTTCTTCCTCTTCCTCGTCCTCCTCGTCGTCGTCCTCCTCTTCTTCCTCCCTTTCCTCCTCCCTTTCCTCCTCCTCCTCCTTCTCCGCTGGGTCCGCTTCCATCCTCTCCCTCTTGGGGTATGGCGGCTTTTCAGCCTTTATTCGCCTGCGTGCTCCCCCCACATGCCGGACCTAAGCAACTCGCCTGGGCATCGTTTCTGGATAGGCTGGTGGTTTTACGCTAAACGTCTAGAATTCCATCCCTGGTCGGCTTTCCCGTGCAACACGGCACCAAGATGGCCCCCTAGACGGCCGAGATTGCCCAAGGTGCCTCCAAGACGGCTCCAAGACGATAGGCTCCCAAAATCACCCCAAAACGGCACAAGAGACCCCCAAGAGTCCCGCAGGACAACCCAAGAGGGACCCAAGACCGCCCAACAGGCCACAAGACGGCCCCACAGACCTCCAAGACGGACCTGCACGTCAGCCGCAGTGGAGGATGGAGGATGAGGATGGAGAATGGATAGGCGCTGTTTCTAGTTTTCCTTAGGACTGACGACGACGACGACGACGAAGCCGTCGACGGCGCCTCACACACGCCAAAGGGTCGGCGGACTAAGCCCGAATCTGCTGGCTCCCATAGAACCCACACGATCTACAAAACCAAAGATTCAACGCGGGGGCCTTTTCGGGCCTCTGGCAGCCTCAGGAGACCTCTGGGGCGAGGGTCCAGGGCTGGCGGCCAGCTGCAAGAAGCGGCGTGGAGATGGCTTTCGTTCTGCTCTCGGTTTCCCTGGACCATCGTGGCTCTGTATATGAAGCTGTTGAGATGTACACACGTCCGTCGGAAGAAGTAGGTAAGAACATGAGATGGGAAGGCGGATCAAGTAGATTGGGCTCAGGCCTTCCCAGAGAACAACGAAACACAGCAGAAGCAGATCGACTCTTGAGGTAGGAAGGCGCTTGAGTAGAATGGGATCTGGGGGTCTAAAAATATGTAGGTTCAACGACTGGCGTGTACAGTGGAGGCCAGTCCATAAGAAACCTTGGACAAGAAACCCAACCCTGAGACCCCAGGACGTCCATCGAATTTTGGTGTGGGAACGTCGAGCACTCCATCGCACAACCATCGAAACCCCAGAAACCCAGGGCACCTTGGAGGCAAGCGCGCTGTTCCGTGGCATTGGGCCCCCACTGTTGGACGTGCTCGGGGCGGAGCGGAGTGCGCACCGTCGGTCCGACGGACCGGACCGGCCCTGCGAGGGCGGTGCGGGCGGGCCGGGGCCGGGGACACGGGTCGGAGGAACGGGGGGGGGGGAGGGGAGAGAGAGGGAGGGAGGAGCCAGAGGCAAGAGGAGAGATGGGAGGAGAGATGGGAGGAAGAGGGAAGAGGGAAGAGGGAAGGAAGAGGGAGGGGGAAAATAGGAGGCACGGGGAGGGAAGAGGGAGGGGAGAGGGAGGGAAGGGGGAGTCAGGAGGGGGGATGAGGGAGGTAGATGGAAGCAGGGAGGAGGAGTCCAGAGAATGCTTGCGTCTGCGTTGCAAGTTTCGCCCCCGAGCCTTCGGGGGCTTTGGCTGCGAGCTCCAGGCGGGTGACGTCGCCGCGCACCTCGTCAACCAAGGAGCGCAGGAATTCGACCTCGATCTAGGCGGCGGACCGCGACTCCCCACCAGTATGTAGAGGAAGTCGAATACAGGGTCAGGAGGAAGAGGAGGAGGAGGAGGAGGAGGAGGAGGAGGAGGAGGAGGAGGAGGAGGAGGAGGAGGAGTGGCAGGACAAGGATAAAGAGAAAGGGGGGGTCCACCAAAAAACGGAGGGGGATAATGACGACGAGGATGGGAGCAGGAGCAGTAGGAAATCGGAAATGGGAAGGGGGGGCATTCATGGTCTTGAAATCGCATCGCTGATATGTGGGCTTCCGTCAGCGAAGCGGCAGGATTGTGGGCCTGGTGGGACACCCACGTCTTGGTTCACGATGAATGTGTGAGGCTGGGGCGACGTTTCGTTGCTTGAGCCTGTCCCCCATCCATCGCCTCTGAAATTCTCTCGAGGCGCCCTCCTACTGAGGATGACTGGAAAAAGGGAATAAAGAAGGGTGGGAGGGAGGAAGGGAGAAGGAGAAGCAAGGGAGAGAGGGAAGAGGAGGACGAGGCGGGGGAAGTGGAGGAAGAGGAGGAGGAAGAGGAGAAGGAACAGGAGGAAGAAGAGGAATATGAACAATTGGGAGAGGAGGAAAAGGGTGATGACAGGAGGAATCCGATGGCCTTCTTTAGGCTCATGGCTCGGAGACTCCCTGCTGTACTGATGTATCGATGCTGCCTCTTGGAAATTTCCCAACCATCCTGTGGTGCTGGGTCCTCGTTTTGAAGAGACAGCGCCCCGCGTCCCACCTCCTCCTCTCCTCCTCCCCCTCCTCCATCATCATCATCAGCATCATCATCACCATCACCATCACCACCATCACCATCACCATCACCATCACCATCACCATCACCATCATCATCACCATCATCATCATCATCATCATCAGCAGCAGCAGCAGCATCAGCATCAGCATCAGCATCAGCATCATCATCATCATCATCATCAGCATCAGCATCATCATCATCATCATCATCATCATCATCATCATCATCATCATCTCATCATCCTCATCCTCATCCTCATCATCCTCATCATCCTCATCATCCTCATCCTCATCCTCCTCATCCTCATCCTCATCCTCATCCATCCTCATCCTCATCCTCATCCTCCTCATCCCTCATCCTCCTCATCCTCATCCTCATCCTCATCCTCATCCTCATCCTCATCCTCATCCTCATCCTCATCCTCATCCTCATCCTCATCCTCATCCTCATCCTCATCCTCATCCTCATCCTCATCATCATCATCATCATTCCCTCCGCTTCCCCACACCATCGTCGCCATCATCACCATCATCCATCATCCATCAGCATCATCATCTGCAGCATCATCCTCATCCACATCCTCCTCATCATCATCGTCCCCACCGACCATGTCGTCACACCCCTCACACGGTTCGTGGCCCCATAGGGAGCTCCACCGAAGGCCCCAGTGGGGGTGTCCGCATGCGTCCTCCCCGCCCACCGCAGGCCCATCTCGGCACGCCCCTCACACGGTTCGTGGCCCCGCAGGCAGCTCCACCAGAAGCCCCAGTGGCACACTTCGCATGCGTCCTCCCGCCCACCGCAGGCCCATATTGGCACACCCCTCACACGGTTCGTGGCCCCATAGGGAGCTCCACCGAAGGCCCCAGTGGCACAGTTCGCATGCGTCCTCCACGCCCACCGCACGCCCATTTCGGCACACCCCTCACACGGTTCGTGGCCCCATAGGGAGCTCCACCGAAGGCCCCAGTGGCACAGTTCGCATGCGTCTTCCCCGCCCACCGCATGCCCATTTCGGCGCACCCCTCACACGGTTCGTGGCCCCATAGGGAGCTCAACCGAAGACCCCAGTGGCACAGTTCGCATGCGTCCTCCCGCCCACCGCACGCCCATTTCGGCGCACCCCTCACACGGTTCGCGGCCCCATAGGGAGCGCCACCGAAGGCTCCAGTGGCACAGTTCGCATGCGTCCACCCTGCACACCGCATGCCCATTTAGGCACACGTGGCCCCATAGGGAGCTTCACCGAAGGCCCCAGTGGCACAGTTCGCATGCCGCCCCCGCACCCATTTCGGCACACACCTCACACGGTTCACGGCCCCATAAGGAGCGCCACCGAAGGCCCCAGTGGCACAGTCCGCATGGCGCCCCCGCACCCATTTCGGCACACCCCTCACATGTTTCGTGGCCCCATAGGGAGCACCACCGAAGGCGCCTGTGGCTGCGTTCGCCTACCCCCCCACCATCCATTTCGGCGCACCCCTCATTCCTCACACGTTTCGTGGCCCCTGGCCCCACATCGAGCTCCACCGAAGGCCCCAGCGGAGACTTTCGCCCCCCGTGGGCCTCTTGAAACAGTCTGCGAAGGTTCTGCAGGTGCGAGAGACCCGCCAGAGGCCCTCTGCAATGTAATTCACGCAATTCGGGGATGGACAGACCTCCCTTTAGTAAAACGTGGTTTAGTGAAAACGACCTCGGGCCCAAACCTGGCGGGCACAGGCCTGGAAAATAACGGCCGCGGCGCCCTCTCGAGAACCGAAAACGGACAATTCACTAATCGACGTGTCACTGTTGGGGGTTCTGTCCACCCCCGAGCAATATCACGTGCTCTAATGTTTTTTCGACGGAGCTGCCTCCTGGCCTGCGCGGGTCTGCAGCCTGGCTCCCAACGACGCGGTGCGCATTCCAGTTCGCAGAACTTGTGAAACGGCGTTGTGAACGGCCTTCTCTGCCTCGCCGCAAAGCGCCACTTGGCTCTACATGATGTTCTATCATGCCCGTGTGTGCAGTTCTGTATGGCCGGAGAGGGACCCTGAAAGAAGCTCCCTGTCCGGCGGCGGGAGAGGGGGCCCTGAAAAGGCTCCCTCTCCGGCCTGTGCGTTGCCGGAGAGGGACCCTGAAAAGGCTCCTGTCTGGCGGCGGGAGGGGGAAGGCTCCCTGTCCAGCGGCGGGAGGGGGACCCTGAAAAGGCTCCCTCTCCCGCCTGTGCGTTGCCGGAGAGGGACCCTGAAAAGGCCCCCTGTCCGGCGGCGGGAGGGGGACCCTGAAAAGGCTCCCTCTCTTGCCTGTGCGTTGCCGGAGAGGGGCCCTGAAAAGGCCCCCTGTCCGGCGGCGGGAGGGGGACCCTGAAAAGGCTCCCTCTCCCGCCTGTGCGTTGCCGGAGAGGGGCCCTGAAAAGGCTCCCTGTCTGGCGGTGCCGGAGGGGGGACCTGAAAAGGCTCCCTCTCCCACCTTTGCGTTTCCGGAGGCGGCGGGAGGGGGACCCTGAAAAGGCTCCCTCTCCCGCCTGTGCGTTGCTGGAGAAGGACCCTGAAAAGACCCCCTGTCTGGCGGCGGGAGGGGAACCTGAAAAGGCTCCCTCTCCCGCCTGTGCGTTTCCGGAGGCGGCGGGAAGGGGAACCTGAAAAAGCTCCCTGTCCGGCGGTGGGAGGGTGAACCTGAAAAGGCTCCCTCTCCCGCCTGTGCGTTGCTGGAGAGGGACCCTGAAAAGGCCCCCTGTCCGAGAGGGAACCTGAAAAAGGCTCCCTGTCCCCCGAGGGGGGGGGCGGCGGCAATTTGACCCCGCCCCCCTCGCTTGATCAATCGCCTCCAACATGGCCCCGAGGCGGTGCTCGAGGCCCCCCAGGGCGCCCAAGGACGGCCCCAGGATGTGGCCGCGGGGCCCCGAGGGGGCCCCCGCGACGCCCCCGAGATGCGCCCGGGAGGCCCCCGACCCCTTAGGAAACTTCGCCAGGCAAGCACCCGAATCGCGGAGAGACCCCCGCGAGGCCTCCGAGAAACTCACTGAGAAAACATCCGAGCGGGCCGAGGGCGCGCGTTTCCCCCTACAGCCACACGTTTTTCCTCCTCTTCGGGGAACGGCGCCCCGGCGGTCCTCGGGGTTTTTGGAGAGGAGGAGGAGGAGGAGGAGGAGGAGGAGGAGGAGGAGGAGGAGGAGGAGGAGGAGGAGGAGGAGGAGGAGGGAGGAAGGGTGCGGGGGGGAACGCCTGGAAAAAAATCACCCCGCCAAGTCCCGCCCAGACCTTACACGGCCTCCAGCGCGTCGACATGCACGTTCCAGGCGGCCCCGGATGGCCTCCAAGATGCGCCCGAAAAGCGTTGAGATCGCCCCCGAACGGCTCCGAGTGGCCGCGGAGCCTCTCGAGGAGACGCCCAGGAAGCCCAAATCAGCCCACAATATTGGAAAATCGATGATGTTTTCACGGTCGTCCAAGACTGCCCCGACGCGCCTCAAGACCGAGTTCGGGGGTTCTAGAAGGGCAGCGACGTCGGGGGCCCCCCCTCTCATTTGATCGACGTCCTCCCCGAGCCCCCGCCCCCAAATCCCAGGGGGGCCTGGCGAGAACGCCGACTGCTCCCAACGTCCCAACTTTGCCCCAAGAAGCCCCCCGAGGCTTCTGGCGCGACCTTGACAACGCCCTGCAAAACCGAAGGACGCGCTAGAAAATCTAGGCAATAACGACACCAACAAGATCCGTGATCGTTGACAACTGCTGTCGTCGCCGTCGCCTCCTCCCTCCCACGTGATCCTCCTCCTCCTCTTTTTCTTCTTCTTCTTCCTCTTCTTCCTCTTATTCTTCTTCTTCTTTTTCTTCTTAGTATTAGTATGATTACTATTATTATTATTATTATTATTATTATTATTATTACTACTACTATTATTATCATTATTATTATTATTTTTATTAGTACTATTATTATTATTATTATTACTATTCGTATTATTATTATTATTCTTATTCTTATTCTTAGTATTATTATTATTATTCTTATTATTCTTTTTCTCCCCCATTTCTTCGACGCCATTGTCCTCCTGTTCCTCTTGTTCCTCCCATCCTCTTTCCTCCTCCTCCTCCTCCTCCTCCTCCTCCTCCTCCTCTCCCCCCCTCCTCCTCCTCCTCCTCCTCCTCCTCCTCCTCTTCTTCCTGTCCTCCACCTCCTCCTCCTCCTCCTCCTCCTCCTCCTCCTCCTCCACAGTTACTCAATATGAATACTACTCTCCTTCTTCCC